GCCACAGCTGGATGCCCCAACATTACAGAGCAACTTTGGGTGACTGTCCAGGCAGTCTAATATCCCTGTCTTTAGGTAACACTGCATTCTTCTGGGGTCTTTATGGAGCTGAAGACTAGATAGTTATAGTTATAATTTTTCTTAGTTATGATGGAAGGGTAAATTAGACATAAAACTCTGGACTCACCAAGATAGGATAGATAATTAAAAGATAGGATGAATAATTAAATTCTCTAATTTTGTCAAATAGAAATAAACTCGATATTGCAACTGTAATTCTTACTTGACAACTGTTTTGTTGTATGCAATTTTACTATGTTAAAGTTAAAACCTTCCTTTTTGATTAGACAGAAAGGGGGAAATTCAAATCAAGTCAGCTGCTGCTCCATTTTCTGCTAGGTGCATGCTCCTCATTTCAAAAGGGCCTGTGCATCCCTTGGCCCTGTCTTTATTTGGATCACATCCCTTCCCAAAGAAAACTCTGCCTCTTGGACCCAAACACTCCTTTCAGTTGGCTAACAGACCGGTGACAGGATTCCTATAACACACATAGCATGCATTCCCAACCCCCCACCCGAGACAAAGAAAAAATAAATGCTTAAGTAAATGTATAAATAAATGGGTGTTGTCTTAGTCTGCTATATGTGTGGCAATCTATTACATAGCCATAAAAAAGGAATGGTTTTATAGGCATCACTGTAATAGGCCCCCTGAGAATGGTAAGCACCCCACAGACATGACCAATGACTGTTGTCCACCCAGCAAATGTGCCTGCTTCCAGAATCTGGCTTCCATAGTTTCCACAGGGATGTATCGAAGTCTCATAAAGACTATTCCGGCTCCTCCTTTCTTCATGGGTACACCTCTCTTCACCGTGTGGTGTTTGCTATCATGGACTCCCACAAAAACTGAGCTGGGAAGGAAGTCAGAGGGGTTCAGTCTGTCTCAGGTTGCATTCTCCCAGAGATGAATATCTTATAGGATACAGGAATATAGGAATAGGATCTCCCTCTAGATGGAGACACTCCCTTGTCACCTCCCTTGAGAGTTGAGCCAGCCCTAGAAAGGTGGGTTCACCATAAGATCATGTACTTTTTCTCCCCCAAAGAAATACAAAATGTACAGTTCAGAGAGAAAGAAGAGAACGCTAAATGTAATACTGCATCCAAGGCATGTGCTGGAAGGGATACGAAGATGAGGACAATTAAGGACAGGTCTTGGACATCATGTTCGGCAGCTGCTCACAGCGACCACAAACTAACACACGGATCATATAGAGACATGGCTCACACTTGTCCCGAAGTCTAAGTGATGTATAGTCCGGGAGATGAAGGGCCAGCATTTGCTCCTGCCTTACCCAGACCTCCCATCCTGTTGTCAGGTCTGTATGCAGCCTCAGCTCCAGCTACACCCTTGTTCCTGGGTTGTGGGGTTGTGATTAGTGTCATAAAAAGCTGAATGGCCAATAGCTGGACAGGAGGTAGAGGCGGGATTTCCAGGGAGAGAAAGGAAGAGGAGGAGGAATCTAGGCATGGAGGAGAAGCCAGGAGACTTGGAAAGGAACGAGGTGGAGTGGCCAGTCAGATGGGGAGGAAGCAGGATGGGTAGTACAAAGCAAAGGTAGCTGAGCCACATAAAAGACATAGATTTAAAAAATATGAGTTAATTTAAGTTTTAAGGACTAGTTAGGAAAAAGCCTAAGCAAAGGCCGAGCTTACATAATTAATAATAAGTCTCCATGTCATTATTTGTGAGCTGGGGATCTCAACGAGAAAGTTCATCTACATTCCTGTGATGGGCATGATTGCTCTTGCAGAGGACCTGAGTTCGGGTCCCAGCACCCACACTGGAAGGCTCTCAAAGGCCTGTAACTCCAGTTCCAAGGGATCTAACACCGCCTTCTGGCCTCTGTGGGTGCACACACACATACGCATACACAAACAATTCTCTTAAAACATAACAAAATAAACTGATGAGGTGGTTCATAGGGTAAGAACAATAGCCATCAAGCCTGATGGCCTGAGTTGTGTCCCCAGGACCCACACAGTGGAAGGAGAGAACCAACTCCTGCAAGTTGTCCTCTGACCTCCACACATGTATTCTGTTTTACACACACACACACACACACACACACACACACACACACACACACGGGGAGAGAAAGACAGAGGGGGAGATAGAGAGAATAAATAATGGCAATAAATTTTTAAATAAAAGGAAATAAGATAAAGATGGTGTTCTGTCATATAAACATTTATTTATTACCGATGGGTCTGCCTGCTCAGTTATTGTATTTCCTTTTTGGCTGATTTTTTTTTTTTTAAAGACAGGCTCTGTCTTAGTCAGTGTTCTCTTTTTGTAAAGAGACACCATGACCAATGATGACTCTGAGAAAAGAAGGCATTTAACTGAGGCTTGCCTATCCTTTCAGAGGTTGAGTCCATTATCATCAACATGGCAGGAAGCCTGGCAGCATGCAACCAGACATAGTGCTGGAGAAGTAGCTGAGAGTTCTGTATCTGGATCCACAGGCAGCAAGAAGAGAGTGACACTGGGTCTGGCTTGCCCACCCCCAGTGACACACTTCCTCCAACAAGGCCACACCTACTCTAACAGGACCACACCTCCTAATCCCTCTCAAGTAGTGCCACTACCTGATGACCAAGCATTCAAATATATGAGCCTATGGGGGCCATTCTTATTCAAACCACCACAGGGTCTCACTATGTAGTCCAAGCTGGCCTCAAGCCCACACCAATGCCCCAACTTCAGCCTCCTGAGTGCTGGCATTGTAGGAGTGTACCAACACATCCAGCTTAGTGACTATTGTTTCTCATTTTTATAAATATGCATTTCAGAGAAATGCCCATTACTGCCCTCCCACAGAGCTGGTGATGAAGATGTGGCTTTGTATGCACTGTACCCAGGGCTCTCTAGGTCCAGTATTCCTATGCTTCATGGGCCCCTCCTGTGGTCTGAATGCTCTGAATTCTTTGTGTTATCTTTAGGAGAAGGTAGTCATGATAATCTTCAGTACTGGTAAGTATTTGCTGTCTCATTGGTACTGTCCAGGGAGCCATCTTCTCCAGTTCAGCACGTGTGGTGCAGTGTTTGTGGGTGTACCATCTCCTAAGGCCAGGTGAGTCCACACCTGATATAGAAGCATGGTGTGGTGGTTTGAATGAGAATGATTCCCATAGGCTCATATGTGTGAATGGTTGGTCTCTTGTTGGTGGAACTGTTTGGGAAGAATGGGGAGGTGTGGCCTTGTTGGAAGAGGAGTGTCACTGGGGGTGGGCTTTGAGGTTTCAGAAGCCCACACCATTCCCAGTGTGCTTGCTCTCTGTCTTATACTTGTGGATCAGATGGAAGCTCTCAGCTGCTGCTCAGTGCTATGCCTGCCTGCCTGCCTGCCTGCCTGCCTGTCTGCCTACCTGCCTGCCTGCCTGCCTGCCTGCCTGTCTGCCTACCTGCCTGCCTGCCTGCCTGTCTGCCTGTCTGCCTGTCTGCCTGCCTGTCTGCCTGTCTGCCTGCCTGTCTGCCTGTCTGTCTACCTGCCTGCCTGCCTGTCTACCTGCCTGCCCTCCTGCCTGCCTGCCTTCCTTCCCTCCTGCATGCCTGTCTGCCTGATATCATGCTTCCTGGCATGATGGGCATAGGCTCCAGTCCTCTGAAACCGTGAACCCCAGATTAAATGCTTTCTTCTGTAAGTTGCTTTGGTTATGGTGTTTTGTCATGACAGTAGAATAGCAACCAAGACACAAGGCCAGTGATGCTAGTGAATGGGGAAGAGTATTGCAGACCAGTGGGAGAGACCTTGCCTAACGGTGCTGTGTTCTCTTGGAGGTGGCTAAGCAGGAGTCAGAGTTTGCCGGAATACTCAAGACCTTCCATCTTTTGTTCCATAACTAGGGGTCCCTGGCCTTTGTGTATGGAGTGCTCAAGGCTACCGCTCCTCTCTCTGTGGTGCTCCACGATGGAGCACTGAGTTGGAGCCAGCCTCTCCCCAGCATGGTGTAAAGGAGGTCTGGTGGTGCACACCTGTAACCCTAGAAGGGTGGGGACAGGAGGAGGAGGATTAGAACACCCAGGTTATCCTCAGCTACACGGCAAGTGTGAGGCCAGCCTGGGCTACATCAAACCTTGTCCCAAAGAAAGAATAGTAATGCACGCCCCCTCCCCACCCCCCAAAACAACCCTATCCACCCCCTTCTTTCTGCCATGTGCTCAGAAGTGCTCAGAATCCCATGAAAAGGCACACTTCCAGCCAGCCACCTCTCATGCAAGAAGGTTCATTTTGTAAGTGGTATGGGCTCCTGCCCCACCGTGGGCCTCTATCTTATACTCTGTCAGTTTTACCATGGGAAAGGGTCTATGTCAGATTTGTCTTCAATGAGGCACACACTCAGAAGCGCTCAGAGGAGACGTGCTTGTAGCGAATATAAGCCAATCAACATTCCCTCCCCATCTAGTGCTGTCTTAGTGAGAGTTTCTAGTGCTGCAGCCAAACACCATGACCAAAGCAGCTTGGGGAGCAAAGGGTTTATCTGGCTTACCCTTCCACAGCCTGTTCAGCACTGAAGGAAGTCAGGACAGGAACTCAAACAGGGCAGGAACCTGGAGGCAGGAGCTGAAGCAGAGGCCATGGAAGGGTGCTGCTTACTGGCTTGCTCCCCATGGCATGTTCAGGCTGCTTTCTTTTTTTCTTTTTTTTAAGGTCATCTATCTATCTATCTATCTATCTATCTATCTATCTATCTATCTATCTATCTATCTATCTATCTATCTATCTATCTATCTTATACATACAGTCCTCTGCCTGCATCCCTGCAGGCCAGAAGAGGGCATCAGATTTCATTACAGATGATTATAAACCACCATGAGGTTGCTGGGAATTAAACTCAGGACCTTTGGAAGAACAGCCAGTGCTCTTAACCTCTGAGCCATCTCTCCAGCCCCCTCAGCCTGCTTTCTTACAGAACCCAGAACCAACAGCCAGGGATGGAACCATCCACCATGGGCTGGACCCTCACCCATCAATCACTAATTAAGAAAATGCTTGCCTGCAGCCAAATCTTATGGAGACAATTTCTCAATTGAGGCTCCCTCCACGCAGATGACTTTAGCCTGTGTCAAGCTGACATAAAACTATCCCACACAAGTGGGTGCTGTCTGAGAGTCAGCTGAAACAGAAGCCTAAGACACATTTAAAGGACAGCTTGTCAGGGGGCTGGAGCACAGTAACATGCTTGCCTTTCAATCAATAGTTCCCGAGTTCTAGGCCCAGTACCTATTTTAAAAAGCCTGGCTTGATGACATGCACTTGAAATACCAGCACTGGGGAGGCAGAGGCAGGAGAATTCTCAGAGCTTACTGACCCGCCAGTCAAGCCGAATTGTTGAGCTCTGGGCCAATGGCAGACCTTGTTACAAAGGAGGTGGATGACATTCCTGACACTACCACCTGAAATTTTCCCCTCACTCCTCACATACACATATCCAGAGGCACAAGCATGCCACACATGCGCACATACAGACACGCATTAAGCAAAATAATTTGTCTGGAAAGTGTCCTGTTTTGTTGATGTTGTTGTTGTTTTCTATCAACTTGACACAAGTTAGAGTCATCTGGGAAGAGAGAACCTCAACTGAGAAAAGGCCTCCATCCCACAGTGGCCTGCAGGCAAACCTGTGGGGCATTTTCTTGTTTGAGAATCGATGTGGGAGGGCCCAGCCCACCGTGGGTGATACCATCCCAACGGCAGGTGGTCCTGGGTGTATAAGAAAAGTAGCTCAACAGGCCACTGGGAACAAACCAGTTAGCAGCAGTTCTCAATGGTCTCTGCTTCAGTTCCTGAGTTCCTGCCCTGGCTTCCCCGACGATGGGCTGCATGTAACCTATAACCCAGTTAAACCCTTTCTCCCCATGTTGGTTTTGGTCATGATCATTATCTCAGCAATAGAAAGTCAACCAAGACATTAAATAACCTCCCCAAAGATACATATGTGAGGAGCTAGATCAGGGGTTCAAGAGCTCCCGGAGGAACTGGTTTCTGCTTTCCAGCTGGGCCTGTCAACAAAGTCTAGTCAGCCTTCTCCCTGGGGCTTTCTTTCATCCCTGCTGGGAGGGTCCCACAGCACTCACACCTAGGCTTCTATGTGGCATCAAAATAATATAAAAGAATTTGGCAGTCTAACCCTAAACACAGTGTATGGCTTCCTGCCTCCTGAGTAGACCCTTGGGAGTGTCGAATATCTCCTTGGGGACTAAGGAAAGTAACCTTTGACCTGGAGATTTCCTGCTTCTTTGGGGTTTCTAGGTCAGGATTCTCAGATGATGGCTGGTGTCAGGGAAGGTTTCAAGCTGGGAAGGGTGAAGGGCAGGCAGGCTGGGGCATAGGCTTCCTGACCCCCAGGTGGTCCTGCCTGACTTGCTTTCATCACAATACGCCCCCTTCATCTGCTCAGCGTCCACATCACCCTGTTTCAGGAGCCCTGGCTTCTGCATTCTGGCTCTGAAGATCCACTTGCCTGTTGACTGGGTTTCCCTGAGCAATTTTTTTTTTTTAGCATAACCTCAAACCAAAGCTGAATTTAACAACTTGTGTAACGTCTCTGGAACTGTCCTCCACCGGGAGGCCCTGGACACCCTGCTTTCAGGTACCTCTTGCACTGTGATGGGGACTCAGGAGGAGTGGGAGGAGGCATGGGTGTTCCAGGATCCGTGCATTTCACCCCGTCTCTTGGCAGGGCAGGTAGCTGAGAGCCTTGACAGATCCAGCTTACATCTATCAGACGTGGACCATGGCCTGGCCATTGTGGACATTGTCCAGGCAATACTTCTCATTTCACCAAGCGACTCTTCTTCTAATTGCTCTTCTCTTGGCCATCTTTGGTTATGGCTACTGGCACCAGAAGAGCCAGATTCACAAGGGTGAACTAATCAAGGCAGACATGGCTGATAGAAAACAGTATAGACTGCAAGATAAATCATTATCAAAATTGATATATACCCAGCCAAGTCTGCTTACACCCACTAGGAGAGATGTCCTTGTGTTGACCAGTTGGCTCGCCCCGGTTGTGTGGGAATGGACTTTCAACATCGACATCTTAAATGAGCAGTTCCAACTCCAGAATGCTACCATTGGATTGACCGTGTTTGCTTTAAAAAACTACAAGGAGTACTTGGAGCAGTTCCTGAGGTCTGCGGAGACATTCTTCATGGTAGGACACAAGGTGAACTACTACATCTTCACCGACCAACCTCACGATGTCCCTCAGATCCCCCTCCACGACGGAAGAAAAGTGGTTACCCTCCAGATGCCGAGTTTTGAGCGCCCTCAGGACATTTCCATGCAGCGCATGGAGTTCATCAGCATCTATTCCAAGCAGCGTTTTCACAAGGAGGTGGCTTATCTGGTGTGTTCTGATGTGGATGTCACCTTCCAGCACAAGGTGGGTGTGGAGATTCTCTCTCCCTTGTTCGCCACCCTCCATCTGCACTTCTTCATGGCTGGTCGGGAGACATTCCACTATGAACGCCGGCCTAAGTCACAAGCTTACATTCCAAAGGACGAGGGGGACTTTTATTACACAGGGTCCTTATTTGGGGGATCAGTGGCAGAGATATATAGGCTCACTGCAGCCTGTCACCAGATGATCATAACAGATAAAATCAATAACATTGAGGCCCTGCAGCTCGGTGAGAGTCACCTGAACAAGTACCTGCTTTACCACAAACCCACCAAGATCCTTTCTTCAGAGTACATGTTCAATAAGAAGATCGCTACCGAGAGGTGGGTGAATGAACACTTCGATTTGTTCCACTTCTTCAAGCGTGTTAAAATTTTGGACTTGTCCCCAAATTACATGCAGACACATAATAAAGACACTGTCAGAAACTATTCAGAGAGAGAGGATGATGGATGCTGTGCCCTAATCACCCCCTTAGTATGCTTCCTCTCTCTCTTTTTAAAAGATTTATTTTATGTGTATGAGAGCCTGAATGTAGGTATATGCACCACATGTGTGTAGTGTCCACAGAGACCAGAAGAGGGCGTCTGACCCCATGGAACCAGAGTTAAGGATGTCTGCAGGCAACCAAGTGAGTGCTGGGAACCAAACTTTGCTTTTCTGCAGGCTTTGAGGTCTCATATATACTACAACCACGCCCAGTGAGATAAGATCACTTCCTGTTGCCTGTGAGTCAAGATGTAGAACTCTCAGCTCCTTCTCCAGCACCATGTCTGCCTGCATGTGCCATGCTTCCCACCATGACAATAATGGACTAAATCTCTTAACTGTGAGCCAGCCCCAGTTAAATGTTTTCCTTTATAAGAGTTGCCGTGGTTATGGTGTCTCTTCACAGCAATAGAAACCCTAATTAAGACAGGTAGGTGGTCCACCTGTTGACAAGAACAGAGGTCTCTTCAGTGCAGTGTGGAGCTGGTGCCTCCCACAGGTGTACCCCAGCTGGATGGACTGGACATAATCTGACACCAAGAGAAATGGGTTATCTCTGCTTCACTCGTCTTCTCTCAGTGATGCTGAGTCCTGTAGTAACAGATGTACCTTCAGCCAGGCAGGCTTGAGGCAGCCTGCTTAGGAGGACGGTGACTGCACGTCTCCCAGTCCTCGTTACTGGCCTCCACTTGGAGCCAGTGAGTGACTGGCTGGCAGGAACTCAGGTCTACGTTTCCCTTGGCATGGAGCTGTGTTTCTGGGTGTTCCCTTCACATCCTTCTCCAAAGTTGGGTGCATCCGATCCGGACCTGGGACTTGCCACCCCTATGTCACTTACCCAAATGTATTTAGCCGCTCCCACCCCACCCCCCCCCACTGATAGTCTTGCCATTTACACCGTTCAAGCACCCTGCTCTCCTCTATACAGCCCCTTTTCTGTGCGCTCCTAGGACCTTGGGCTCTCTCTCTTTTAAGCAAGAATAGCAAGGATGTGGAGATTTGTTGGACAGGCTGAGACACATGGAGGCGACTGCTCAGGTAGCACAGGAGGACAGTCACTTTGACCCTAGAGTGGAGCTCTTTACTTCTCCTGGGTGGCTGTACATCCCTCAGGTGCATGCACGCTGTGCCATCTTCCTTTGTGACCCCAAAGGAAAGAGAAGGACGTCCCCATCCACACACACTGGCCAGGTAAGCACAGAGCTCGCTCACACGGGTGATGCACACTGTGAGACAGAGTGCATGGATCAGTATGGGACCCCCTGGGATCAGGATTGAGGGGCCATTCAGATGCAGCAGGGAGACCTTCACCAGAAGCAGGGACCTAGGGACACTAGGAACACAGTGGACGAGGAAGAAAATGAATGGAGCAGATGGTGAGAGAGCTGTTCCAGAGGGGTGGTTTATGTGTTGTTTGCTTCCGAGGGTGTGGTAAGGTATTAGAGGAGCCTTCCTAGTCCCCAGTCCCAGGCCAGGTACATTCTTCTGAAGGACTCTTTCAACTTGTGTTTGGTTAGAAAAGGTATGCCAGAGAAGGGAGAGATGGAGAGAAAGGGGATGGCAGATTCCAGGAGAGCCTGAATAACTATCATCCCCATCCCCCATCATCAGGCCCACACACTCCTCAACACCTAAACTCAGTGCCAATGACTCTCTGGGCCTTCTGTCCTGGAGTCATCAGAGGTCAGAGCCAGGGTTGAGGCAAGGCTCATAGGAGGTCAGGGTAGGAGAGATGAGGATTGGGGCAATGGGCCAATTCTGGGTACCACCATTTCTGCTACCCAGGCAGCTGGTGTGGCTGCAGCTAATGAGGCAGTGTGCTCTGGGTCAGGGGGTGGACCAAGCTGCATGAGTTGACGTTCCCTTTCTGCCAGCACAGCGAATGCCATTTTATTTTACTCTTTTGGCTCTTTGCTATTTGGGGACATGCCATCCAGCTCCCAAATAAATACACACATGGAGGCTTATTCTTCCTTCCTTCCTTCCTTCCTTCCTTCCTTCCTTCCTTCCTTCCTTCCTTCCTTCCTTCCTTCCTCCCTCCCTCCCTCCCTTCTTTCTTTCCTTC